GTGTCCCCCCCCTCCCAGCAGGGAAGCGGGAAGGCTCGAGGTGCCTTCCGAGGCAAAACCCAACAATAAAGGCACTTACGGATTTTAATTATTATTAATTTTTTTTGGTCTTTGTTTCCGTTAGACCGGCGCTTGTGCGTGTGCCCTCATTTTTCTGAGCCAGCACAAGGTACTGCGGGGTAAGCGGGCCAAGCGTGCTACATAAACCTTAAAAAAAACAATAGAAAAATGTTAAGTCACTTAGAGGAATTCCCTGCCCAGCGTGTTACTGCAAAATCCTGTTTAATTTGCAGTGCGCTTTACGTTCTCTCACAGGTGCTGAAAGGACAGAAAAAACTCAACGCCGGTCAGAAATAATTCTGTGATTCAAAATGGAAGCTCACGGCCCTGCAGCTGCCTTCATGTGGGGCTCACCCTCCTCCCTCACCTGGAGGTACCACCTGGCACGCAGCAGCACAGCACATGCTCCTGCTTCAGCTCTGGTGAGGAAGGGCCCTTTCAGGATGATGCCCTCTGGAAGAAGGAGCTGTGACAAGGGCTGCAGGCAACAGTGAACTCGTTTTTGCTGCTTTCTCAAGCCACCACCACCTCACTAGCTACCTGCTTCTCAGCCAGCCTGGCAGGGAGTGCTCACAGCCCCTGTGGCCCTTTCTCCAGTTGCATTCACCTTCCCTTTCCACCTCTGGCTCACATTCCATCCAGAAGGAGGATATTCTGGAAATGGCTATGTTTATCAGCACCAGCAGGGGTGGATTTCCCAAAACCAAGGCAGGAGAGCTAGCTGCTTCATCACCACCTGTGATTCAGGCAAGATCTGTCATAGCATTTTGCTCTTTTTCACTGTAGCAGCTGAAACGTTGCAGCCACCACAAGCTCTCTGACCAGAGGAACAGTGACTCAAGAGAGGACACATTCCCCTCTGCCTTGTCCTCAGTTGAAGGGGGGAGGACAGAGAGAATGCTGACAGCAAGAGGCAGCAAAAGACAGTCACATGGACTCTGCTTCAGGAGACACGAACAATTCAGAGAACAAGGTGTTTCTGTGGTCAGGGACTGAACCCAGTGTACTTCACCACTGACAATTCTGCATTATTTAGGTCATATCACTTGCTTTGATGAAAGGCTGTAAGAGGCCCTTTCGCAGGTATTTAGCATTGCAGGCCAACTGAAAGCAGAACCCCAGACAGATCACTCCAGATTCTCACCTAGAATGGGACAAATCCTTCTGGACTGCCTTGTATCCCCAGACATTACTTTTTAAAATCTCAATTCTTTATACGCTTGAAGGTGACTTCAAAAGAACAAGTGGATCACACTCGTCGTATTTTGCTTTTCACTTTTTAAACTGCTTTCAACTTTGCACATTAAATGTTCATTAGCACCATCCACATTTAAATTGATGTTTTTATTGCTGTTCACTTTGTCTAAACAACTGCTTTTGCACTTGTGCCTGAGTGTCAATAACTGAACTTCCATTGTTCTCATCCACCTTAGAAATCAGCTCTCTGCTGATGCAAATGGATAGGCAGCAACTATGACTGTCTTGTCCCCAGACGTGCAGGTCACGAGCAGCACGTCTTACCTCAGGGCAGGAGCACAAGGCACCCCCCATTCATGTACCAGAAGGTACAGCAGTATTTCAGAGAGCTCCATGTGCTTTTTCCAGTTATTTTCTCCTTTGACCTGTCAGCAGGACCTTCTTCCCAGACACAGGAACTGCTCAAATCACTGCAAGCAGCCACTGTACAGGTATCGCCCAACCCCAGGCTCTTTCATCCAACTTCTACTCTCGCAAAGCAAAATAGCAGCAGAATATCCAGCTGTTCAGAGCATTGTTGGGTACTTCCTTTGTTTCATTCACATTTCCAGTGAAGCACTTTTAAAAAAAAAACAAACCACAACCTGAAAAGACAGCTTTCCCAGATCAGCTATTGTTCACTACAGGCACTGAAATAATTTTTTTGGCACCTCGCTGCCCTCAAGACCATGGTGCTGTACGCTACAGTGTAGCACTTCTTGCTAAGGTGGAGAAGGCAGCACAAGGAAGCAGCAAGCTTTGGGGGAGCAACCAGACCTTTCCCACCAGTAACACTGGCAAGCGGTGTATGAGCATAGGGGGAGAGCAGAGCAGGAGCTCCAAGAATATTTTGATTATTTTGTAAATGGCCCTTGATAATGGGAAACTCACCTGCTCGAAGCTCTTGGCTGCCTCCAGGCTCATTTTTTGCAGACCCGTGACCTGGCAGGAGCAGCAGCACTTACCTTCGTGAGAACAGCTCTAAGGGTTGATCAGCCGACTCTGTTGCCGTTTGCTCCAGGGAGGTTGCTGTCAGGAGTGGCAGATTTCTGTAAAGAAAGGGTCATTCCCTCTCCAACCGGGAGTTGGTGCTGCTGCACTCACCCCAGCCCCTCAAGCAAAAGCTACACTGGTTTTTAACCAAACCCTTGGCTCTGTGGTCATCCATGTAAAAATGTGGTGAGATTTCCCAGCTGCAATGTTGAAAGACACAAGAGCAAAGACAGACCCCTCAGAGCTGACTACCTACCTCCTCATGCAGCAGTTATGGGTGGCTCTCAGTGGCCCACACAGTGGTTTTAACAACCACCCCTCCAGCCAGCTAACTTTTTGATGTAGTGGAGAGAGGAGGCCTGTGGGGTTCATGCAGTGCCTACAACACCAGAGTACGACAATATCCCTGGGGCCTGCCTACAAGTTTCCAAAGCCACCCAGGCTGCCCCTTGGTCAGGGTGATTACATGAGTCCCTCAGGTTTCTTGCACCCTGGCTTCAAAAACAGTTGCTTGGTAAGCAAAAGTGAAGGACCAAGAGCGGAGAAGACAAGTGGTGCTGAACAGGGAAGGGGTGACTGTTCCTGACAGCACTCGCCATCCTAAGCACCACACACGCTGTATTTCAATCCATGCTTTTCAGAGAACACCAAGCTGCACAGCCCATGGAATTTCCCCTTTCAGGTGCTGCCTGCCGTAGTGGGGCCTAGGGGCATGTCCAGGGGTGCAGCTGAGTGCCCTTGTCCTCAGGCAGCATCCTATCGGGACAGCTGTGCAAGGCAAGCTGGCTGCACTGCAAGGATCAGAGGGGCAGCGTAGCAACAGATTATAAAAAAAAAAAAAAAGTACTATCCAGATTAACCTTTAATCCTACCAACACATGCATGTGAAAGGACAAGCCGTTATGAGTTTCTAGTGCCAACCAGCCTCTGCAGCATTGGCAGGGGTAGGAAGAAACAATCCCTGGAGTAGGCTTTCCTCTAGCTCTGCACTGCAGTTCCTTACAACTTCACCTGACTCGCTGGCTGCTGCCAGAACATAAGTGGCTGGCTGGAATCCTGCTCTGATGCCCTTACTCAAATCCAGCCTCCCTGGCTCAGGGCAAGCAGGCTGACTGTGCTTCGGCAACACAGGCAAAACCAAACCATGCTGCCTTGAGCCATGAAGGACTTGGGAAATGCGTCCCCACCCCCTCTGCTTTTGCTGCGTGTGCTTTTGAGATTGACGTCATAGCTGCGTTTGGATGCAGGGCTCGCCCCCACGTTACATCTGCAGAAAACAGCCAGCCCCATTTGCTGCCTGAGGGACGTCAATTAGCAGCTAGACCCCTTCCACAGAGAATGGAAAGGCACAGGCACTGAGGGAGCAAGTCAGAAACCAAAGTGGGCTAAATGACACTGTGGAATTCTCTCCATGAATTATCAGCAGTCTCAGGATTTGGGCTCCTCCGCTAGGCCCTGCATTACCTGCAGTGAATCAGGGGCCAGACTCCACCCAGGAGCTGCTGTGCTCCTGGGGAGCTCCTTGAAAGCCCTGCAGGCCAACCCACTGGAGGCTTTGGCTTGCAGGAGAGCAGCTTCCAACTGGCAACTGCATTTGACAGCCCAGGCCTCACCTCAGATTTTTTCCTTTCCCACAAGAGACACAGGATATTGAGCACATCAGCAGCCTCCTGGTGCCAGCAGAGCTGTCCTGGCACCGTGGCACTGACCTAAAGAAGGACTTCCTAAACACAGAGCAGCAGTCACCCTGCCATCAGCACTGTCCTCTTCAAAATCTAATCCATCAGACCAACCATCCCAGGTCACCTCTGTGCAGCCCTAATTTACACACTGGGTTAAAAATTAATAACAACCTAACCTCCTCAAATTAAAGTAATGAGTAATGTCAGAAGCAGCCTTCTGCAGGCTCCATTCTTCATCGATCCTTCTTTACTGATCTTTCTCACACACGCACACACATTTTCCATTCTTTTTCCAACCACACTGCATGTTTATACCAACAGAAGTGGCTGGTGGAAAATAACTCAGTTGTAAAATTAAAGCAAGGGGAAGTAAATGACCACACAAACAGACCACCAGGTAAATGTCAGTTCTCATATTTAATATTTTAATAATTTTGTTTGCAACATTTACCACATAAATCATCTAAATAAATAGATGCTATACAGTCTCTTATCCATATCAGTACAAAAATAAAACCACACTTTGTGTCAAATTATACTTGAACCTGCCCTCCCTTTGCTATTACAATCTCCTTTTACAGCACACACTCTCTCAGAAAAGGCATTATACTCCAATTGGTTTGCTTGGAATTGGTTTACTCCATAGTTCTCCCCCCCTCCCCAAATACATTCAGTTAGTCTGTACAAAAGCTAGAAGCTCATTCTGTGCAAAAGAAAGCTTTCTGTGTGCAAAAACTGGGATACTCTAGCGTGCTAACAGGAACAACAGCAACAACTGAAGAGACAAGAACAAAAATATTTGGGGACCCTCCCCTCTAACTGACCCCATCCCTCATCTTCTCCCCTCCCCCAGCAGAAAGGAAGCAGACCAAATCAGATGGGTCAGTGTGCAAAGGAGTCCAAAGGATGTGAGTGTGTTGAGGGAAAAGCAACAGAATTGGGGTTCCCCCAGCTCTAGAGCTTGCTAGTTGAGGAAAAATTATTCTCTCAACTTAGTCCACTCAAAAGGTTCTTGAAGCTTCATCTAAATTATTTTAGTTCTTATGTTGCTGTTCTGTTGGAGATGAGGTGAGAAAATGGCCTCTGGAAAAATCCAGCAGCTACTAAAGACAGCCTCTGGTTCACCCTCCCTCTCCCAATCCTACAGAAGGAAGATATCAAGATACCTCCCCATTCCTCAATTAAGCTAATAAGGTGCAATTTCTCAGACAAGAAACTATAAGGATTTGGAAGAATTGGTCGTAGTTCCAGACTAGGACCACTCAAACTGAAACAACTTCATTTTTCATTTTCATCAAACAAAGGAGGTGGGGAGGGAGGAAGCCAACCCGCACCCTGAAGGTGAGCCAGGGACCCTGTAGGTCTCCTCTCCTCCCTTAGGGAGCCCTCCTTTACTTGGCACGGTGGAGCACACTCCCCCTGCAGCCATGGGAGGGAGGCAAAGGGCTGGGTGGCAGCTCTGAAAAAGTGATAAAGAGCAGCCAGCGGCTTGAAACAGATACATCTTTTGCTTTTTAGATGCTACTTTTAGACCGATAAGGAGTGCTTAGCACTCCTAGTGCTTTGCATTTCCAAAGTGCTTCAAAACATACTTCAGATTTAAAAGAAAAAAAAGAAAAAAGGCTGCTTAACATTTTGACAGGTTTGCAAAAAGCTTCTTTGTGCTGACAGTACATTTTCTGGTTAAAAATAATAATAATAAAAAAGGCTTTCCACCTCCTCTTCCTCCAAAATCCCCCTCCCAGTCAAAACTCTGCTACCCCAGGAAGATAAACTGTGACAAAGGTTCTGAACTTCATGAGCTCTCTCTTTCCACATCTGACTGGCACTCTTAGACATCATCCACACTAGTCTCAGACAAGAACCCCCAGCATCTTTGCAGAGCAGCCCACAGCAGATAGAAACAATCTCAGTAGCAAAGCTTCTACCCTATCCCAACTCGGTAGCAAACAGTCTCCCCCTGTCACCCATTATGTGTTCCTACTGAACTCTGTTCCTCTCTACAATTCCCAGTTACTAGGGATCATCTCCCATGTGCTCCCTGCTAAGCCACTCTACTTTCGGAAATTAACGGTGCAAGGCAAAGAGAGCTGGAAAAGAAAAAGAAGCCATCATTCCAGGACATGCTTTTTACAGGAAAGGATTTGAAGGGTCTGAATTAATTTTTAACTTGATTGCTTCTCCCTCCTTCTAATCATACTGGGGCTGTTTTGTAGGGCCTTCCCATCTTAACCAGCTGCTTGGGTGGAATCCTGGTAGTTTGACACCCGCAGGCTTCACACTTTCTCTGTGAGGACAGTAAGTTCAGCA